AGAAACCTATCCCTAGTGGAACCCTGTTTGGTGGTGGAGCCCAGTGGGAGGCGTTAGGTTAGGAGAGTTCAACCCGCATGAATAGATTTGTTATTACAGGAGTTGGGTCACTATTGTGAGTGTGTCTGCTGTAAAAGCAAATGGGTCCCTTCTTGCTCACGTGCTGTCTTGCTGTACTACCTTCTGCTCTGAGATGACACACTAAGAAGACCTTACCCCATTGGGAAAGGGGGAGATTGTCCTAGTAGAAGAGGTTACCCTCTGTTCTGTTTTCCAAGTCTACTATGACCCTTAGAATAATGACTAAATGAATTTCCAAGTAATCAGGAGTCATACAAGGTAGCAGCTGTAGAGATCTACTTAGCATGGGAAGACCAAATAGGGTGAATGAAAAGAGCCTTTTGTCAGGCAAAGGTGAGAACAGGATCCATGGGTGGTCTCCACCCAGGGTGTTTGTGTCCTTTAAGTGGGCTGAGGTTTCTAGTTCAGAAAGGCACTTTCTGTTCTCATACCTAATTAACACATGGAGGTATTGTGTCTCATCTAACACCTAAAAGAAAAAGAAAGGTGATGGAAAGAATGCAGCTCTGTCAATTGTTGGTTCAGTTTTTTGCTTTTCTGGTTATTTTTCATTCATGTTTTCTGGACCTGTCTTAGTTCTTGAACCTGTGTTCTTGGACTTCCAGCCTCAAGACCCGTGACTATTGAGACCATCTTCTTCTTCAAAACAAATCTCCTCTTTGAAAAACAATAGCACTTCACTGTCTCCCAGGGGTGGATAGAAAGGAAGCAGGCAGGCACTAACATGTCCAAAATCCTAAGACAGGAGAATTGAATCTTCTAGGAACGAATAAGCAAGTGGGGGAGGGAGCAGTAACCATGCCCTTAGAAAGTAGCTGCAGCTAGCGGTGGGTTGTACAAAAGGAGCTATCAGGACAAGCCAGCTTCCTGCAGGAGGGCACCGCCACGGAGAGAGGGAGGAATGAAGAGTGCAGGGGACTTGCTAGAAACCTGAATGAACACATGGAAAATGTGACGTTCAGTAATGGAAGCTGAAGATAATCTGTCTTAACAGTAGTGGACTCACATATAGTCACAGGGCATGGCTGTGTCAGTGACTGGGTACAGAAAGATTGGCGTGGTCTTTTACAGCCAGATCGGTTAGGAAATCTACAATCGGCAGACAGAATTAGTGCAGCTAATTCTTGGAGCTAATTTTAGGCATTTGTGAAATATGTCATGAGCACTGAATAACATCTACTAAAAGGCCTTCACTTCTCATGACGGTGAGGCACAACAGCTATTTCCATTTGAGCTAGAGTGAAGTCATCTACTTGCTTACTGGAAAGAGTCTGGGGAACTTTCAGCAGTGTGTTCATGGAGAGGAAATGGAAGACATGAAGACTCTCCAAACACAACGTACTTTTACATGGAGCCCAACCTGAGAAGCTGACTTCCTCAACTGAGCTAAGGTGCACAGCTTGAGTCAAGCAGAGCAAGGGGCCCTGCGCCTCAGTCCTGGGAGCGCAGCCCCGCCTCACATCGCTTTCCTTCCTGATTTGCTCTTGCCTCTTAGCCCTCAGATTCTTTTTCCTGTGGTTTCTGAGATGGAAAATGTGTGTGCTGACTAAGCACTGCTCTGGCAATGCTAAGGGACTGTCCTGCCCTAGGCCTCTTCTGAGACAGCGCCTTACACAGTTTGAGACCGACATTCATTTGCAGAAGGCTTTCTTCTTCAAAGAGAAGGATATTTGTAGTCTTTTTTGTAATATCTACAGATATCAAATAATATTTTAGGTTAATAAATTATAAACATAGAGATTTAAATGTCTCTTACCATGGAAGGAAAAAGCTGAAGAGACAAAGGGGCCTATGGCCCATTTGTTTATCTGGGTATAGACCCTGGAAGAAATGGCAGGGGAGGCAGGCCTGTTGCTAGGCACAGGCATTTGTGTGTGTGCTGGAGAGAGAGAATTGTAGACGCACTATGGATGCTTATTCCATGCTCCAGAGGCAGCTCCGTAAATACACACTGCTGATGCGCGAAGGTGCCTGCTTCCATCTTCAAATTCTGGAACAGAATGGGGACAATCAGAATATGAAAAGGATTGGGGCTTTTTTTCTTCAGTAATCTACCCTAAATTACTTGGGCTCTGGATGCCCATAATTATAGCAAATTACCAGTCGTAAAACTCATGATAGAGTCAGAAAATAGGAAATAGTCTTTCTTTTTCTGTAAGTTTTCTCTAAAGATGCCTTATCGTAACCAAACTCAGATTGCATTGTCTTTATATTACCTGTGCTCTATGCATTCAGAGGAGAAACTTATCCTTTTCAAGGGACTCTAATCATTAAGATAAAGCACTTCCTCTCCTTACAATGCAGATGTCTTTGGCTCTGAGAGTACTTCCTCTTCCTTACTATGTGCCCATTGGAACCTTGAAAGTTATAAACATATGTTACCAAGAAGGCTGTACGCACCTGGATTTGGATCTGGAACCTAGCAGAAGATTTCATCTTAGAAGTGGCGAACAACTCAGAACCTATTTTCAAATTCAGAGTTCCAAGAATAGGATGTTTTTCTTTTTAAATTCAAATGTACGTAATTTTACTGTGTATTCTCCCTCAAACAATTTGGTCACTATTAAGATCTGCCATCTCCAAATCACTGCTTTTATTCCTATACGCTATGATTTTATCCTTAGTTGAAATGGTCTTTATTATCTGAAATGATCTTTATTATCTGTAGGTACAGCAGTTGAGACTTTCACTACCACTATTTTTAATAATCTTCTGCAAGCAAAATAGCAAAGACAATTATAGAAAAAAGAGGCAATGAGCCTTTAAAACATTGAAAGAGACAGAATCTAAGCAATGGGTCTTTAAGAAGAAAGGATAGAAGAAACTAAGTCTAAGAATTAAAGATGTAGCTAGAAATGGGGTTCTTATATTAGTCAAGGAAGGAAGGAAAAGGGATTGTTTATATCCTTGATGCACTATTACAATTAATATAACACTAACATCAAGATGTGGTTTATGGTCTGAATTAACCACAGGCTGATTAAAAGATTTTGGAGCTTTGGTTTAGAGATGTGATTGTATGAAGTCTCCTACTAGGCTCCACACATGGGCACGGCAGGTGTGATAAGAGCAATGTACGCTTCTGGTTGGATGGTATAATAATGTGAAGTAAGTTTTTTCTATAATAGGAGTTTCATAACTTGCATTACAATTTATTGCTGCAAAATCAAATATCAAGATTTCCCCATGCTTGATTTGTATTCCAACTGTGACTAACATGTAGAGTAGCAACCACACCATTCTCTACATTTTTATAACCAAGACTCACCAAGAGAAGGAGAAAAAGTACTTAGCTCTATAAGAAGGCAGCACATGTCTGTTATCTTCATAAAGAGCCACAGTTTTTATCCGAATCTCATTCCATTAAGTTCTGAACTAGCATCTCCCATAGGGTGCCACTGAACAGATAGAGGCAGATTTCACTTCTAAACCCAATGAATTCTTGGCTTCCCTTTCCTAACATTTATTGGTTAAGGGATAGCAATAGAGTACTTTATCCAATCAGATATGATGAAACTATAAAAATAAATGAATGTTAAGAGTAGAAACATGAGGGACATTGTTAGAGAGATTATATAATGTCAAATTAGCAAAATAAAAGAACTTTTCTGTTCACATTACTGGGAAAATCAGCTCTTGAGTAGAAGGTGGTCGATAAAGAGCCACATCACCTATGAAGCAATGAGTGAAGCACAGCTGGCCTGGAAACGTGCATCTTGTGAGCCGTCCCTTCTTAGGCAAGGTCCTTGAGCTTCCTGCGTATGAATTCCTGCTTCTGTAAGATAGTGACATGCTGATTGAATGAGATGACAGAATCAAAGTACATGTGTATATGTGCTCAGTCTACTAGGAATCGCTTTTCTTAAGGAGTAGACTTTAGAACCGATAGTCATATTCCTGTTTGAAATCATGGCGTAAACCACCATTCTTACTATTTACCTAACCCCACCTGTGATGAAGACGTTAAAAATCTGTACAGGGCCAATCCATTTGTCCTTGGATAGAATATAGTGAAAAACAAAACAAAAACTTGACCCTCATTAGTTACATTTTAGACTTTTAAGTAGCGTGCCAGTGGCTTATGCCTGTAAATCTTGCTATTCAGGAGGCTGAGATCTGAGAATTGAAGTTTGAAGCCAACCCAGGCAGGAAAGTCTGTGAGATGCTTATCTCCAAAAATTACTCAGAAGAAGCTGGCAGTGGTGCTATGGCTCAAGTGGTAGAGCGCTAGCCTTGAGCAAAAGAAGCTGAGACAATTACCAGGCCCAGCGTTCAAGCCCCAGAAAAAAATAGACCTTAATTTAAAATTTTATGTTTAGCATGAAATAATGGGTCTAAAACTTTTCCTTCACACTGTGCTTTAAGGTAAAACTGTTCTATGGGAAGAAAAAAGACTGACTCAGCTTTGTAAGTAAAATCTGAAGATGCGTCCTTAATTCTGCTATGTTTCTAAGGGTCTCAAACCCCCCTCTTCCCAGACTTTTTTTTTTCATAGAGGAAGAGCAACTGTGGCTTGAGGAAGTTGAGCAGCCTAATCTAGGCTTCACAGTGAATTCCCCTGTGAAACTTTGACCTGACAGCATTTTTTGTGGTCTCTCAGTTGTAGAAAAGCTGGACTTGTCAGAATAGGGAGAGTGAGGAAGAGGCTGCAGGCAGGCTGCTGGCGGATGCCTTGAGTTGGTTGAGGTCAGCCAGAGAGGAAGGGCAAGTTGTGGTTGTGCTTTGATTTATGTGGCCATGTGACTTGTGCATTCTGTTAGACAAGCTGCTCTCTTCTGTTCTCTTACAGGCAGCTTCGTTGCTGGAGAGGACTGTCAGCTGCCTTCTCTGTGTAGCCACCATCACATGCCTCCCCACTGGATCCTGGGCAGCCTGACCACGGATGCCATCTCCAGGGCATGAATAATTAGGTAGGCATAATGGAAGGCACTCACTGCACCCTCCAATTACATGCGCCTATTACTGAACTCTGCTACATCAGCTTCTATCTTCCAAGGGGGGAAGCCAGAGGATTTTCATACAAGGGCACTGTAACTCTAGACAGATCCAATAAAGGCTTCCAGAACTGCTACCAAGTTCGGGAGGGATCAGACATCTCCAGCCTTACCCAGCATCCCAACGAACAGATAGGTGACATATTTTTCAAGCAGACTCCCACAAAAGACATTCTCACTGAGCTGTATAAACTCACAGCAGAGAAGGAGAGGCTGCTGGCCAATCTGCTGAGCTCAGACCACATCCTGGGCATTTCTTCGGGGAGCCAAGGGGGGAAGCTGTCCGAGCTGCCTGTGAGCCTGGTCCCTGAGGACGGCTGTGTGCAGAGTGCTGGTGACTGGCTCGGTGAGCTGCCTGCGAGCTCTCTCAGTAAGAGGAGCAGCCACGGCAGGAGGAGAGAGAGCTCAGAAGCCTTCCTGCAGAAGAGAAAGAGGAGGAAAGGGAGTGGCCGCCAGAAAACAGCTCTTCAGATGGGAAAGGACCAGATCTGCTCCAGCAATTCCTTTCCTCTTTCTCCAACAAAACCGAATCTACGGCTCCTAAAGGAAAGAGGAAACTTGGTCCCAAATGGAGCATTTACCCACGCCCTACAGAGGAGAGAGAGCTGCCCTGCAGATATCCCCAGGATACTGGGTGCAGACCTTGGCTCTGGCAGCTTCAGGAGGGCCTCAGAGGGCTCCGGGCTTGGAAGAGAAGTGCTTCCTGCAGACAGCAGACCCACAGAGGCAAGAGACGACTGTGTTCAAAAGCAGCCAAGGAGCACTGGCGAGCTGGAGCCTCAACAAACAAATTTGCCTGACGGCCAGGAGGAAGGCAAGAAGCCTCCCGAGGCAGAGAGGTACAGGGCAGGGAAGTGCAAGTTCAAGTCCAAGTCAGTAGATCGGACTTGCAGGAGGAAACCTGTTTTGAAAGTGGTGGCCAGGATCCAGGAACCTGCTACACATGGGCAACATGTGGTTAGGACCCATCCTGAAGGTGAAGGGTGGATTGACATTTGCCCAGAGGCCCAACATCAGTTTATACCCCAAGAAACTTTGCTCACCCTCCCAGAAGCCGAGGCTAGGGCTGACGGTTCCAGCTGGCAGGGCCAGGAGAAGCAAGGGGACAGGTCATCACAGTCCTCGGTGGAAGAAACAGCCTCTGCTTCTGCGTGTCCAGCCAGTGCTGAAGGGGCTGTGAACAAGGTTCTCCTGAAGGTGATAGAGAGGGACAGGCTAGCTGAAACCACAGAGGGGAGAAGGCTGGGCTTGGCCTCCGACACCAGGGCCACCCACGGCTTCCTGGACGCCCGAAGCCAGAGGAGGCCTGGTCTGCCTCAGAGCGGCCTCAGACCCTTGTCTCTGGACCTGCCCCACCCCGTGGGTGCTGACTCCTCACCACCCACAGCGCCAGCAGCGGCTCCTGGCATGGGATTTAATAATTCATCCCCTCAGTCCAGCATACACAAACGGCTGTCACCTGTTCCCTTGCCGCCCCCTCCAAGACACCCCCGCCCTCAGCTTCATCACCGGATCCTCCAGCTTCCCCCGCTGCCCAGCGAGCGGGACCCTGCGTTTAATGACTCTCCCCATAGAAAGAGCGGAGTCTCCTCTGGGTTGCCCTCTGCTGCCACCTTGGAGCAAGCATCCTCTGCAAAGGTCACGGAGACTGGTCAGGGAGCCTGGCCAGCATCCTTCAGCGTGGGACAACCTGGACCGCTGCCCGGGGGACCCTTGGAAAAGATCTTGGAGCTAGAGAAGACTACAGCTCAGCTGGAGCACCAGCCACCTCCAGGTTAGTCCCTCCTTGGAGGGTGTAGGTCTGTGCCTGGGTAACATGCTGGGCCTTTTAGTCAAGTCACCTGTCAGGAAGAAAATGCAGACAGCGGGGCGTGGAGATGGCAAGGTGGTGCTGACATGGTCTAATACTCGATTCTAGAAGCAATACATTGGAAATGTTCGCTTACCTTTACTTGTTTGTTTGTTTTAGCACCCTTTAAGGTTGTTTCCCTGGTCTCTTAACCCAGAGAGTAGAGGAAAAAGGCACAGAAGTAGTGACTTGTCCCTGTCTTTGTGCAAGCTGGATAATTGGCCCATTGACCTAAATTCTGCAGTTCTGCTCTTGAAGTCATCCTAGCGGACTCTACACAGAAGCACAAAAGCAACTGTGTGTTTGCTCATGTAGGTGGAGTTAGAAGTTTTGTTGTCTTTGGTTATCTGTGATCATCTTTGTGAGTGCCATATTTCTATGACAAAGATACTTTTTAACCACAAGGGAAACGATTCAGGTCTTTCTTCCTTTTCCTTTCTTTTTCTTTCTCTTTGTTTTTTTTTTTTTTTTTACAGTTTTCTGTCTGCTTCTTCAAACAAGCACAAAGTGACTATTCTAAAGTAAGCTTTATTTGTGAGTTATTACTATGACTAGGGTAACAGCATTTCTTCTGCAAAAGAAATATACTGGACTGCCCCTATGTGTGCCCCTTGTGTGCTTAATGTGATTTGAAATTTTGAAATGTTTGAGAATTTCATGGCCAGACACTTAGAGTTTTGTATGCATTGTGTAACATAAGGTAGGGAAGATGCTCTTATTCCACATATGCTTATCAGCATATGTTGATGGCTTGGCTTAGAGAATAACTTGACTACAATAAATGGTCTTTTAAAGGTTAGAGAAAATTTAGGTAAAATTCATGTGCAATATTTGAGATAGAAGTCTCAATTTAGAAAACAGAAATTTCAAAAGCCTTTTGCTCATTTTGAACTCATGACATTTTATAAATTTCTCTAAGTCACTGATACAAGGGCAGGGTTCTTTTAAAATGTGGTTAATACTTCTCATCTTGGTTTTGCAGTGTGTTGGTATTAGTTTGCTAAGACTTGCTACTTTCTACCTCAATAGAAAGCCCATGAATTGTAGAATTTATGTTATGTGTGTTACAACTCTAATGATGAAAATATCTTTTCCCTGTGAATGCTGGAGACTCGGCAGTACTTGGCAAGAGAGCTCTGCCCTTGTTTACAGAAAGGAGATTTAAGTTTAGTAAATGGTTTTGTCCTTGGTTTAGGATTGTCTTATTACGTTATTTTGTGTGTGTGTGTGTGTGTGTGTGTGTGTGTGTGTGTGTGTGTGTGTGTGTGTGTGTGTGTGTGTGTGTGTGTGTGTGTGTGTGTTCTATATTACCTGGGTTAAGCTGTAGAGTACATTTTGTTTCTGTTGATGACTGACAATGAACCCACTGAGGGACAGGTTGAGTGGATGGTCACATTTTTCTGTGTCTTCTCTGAATATCCACAGGATTGTTGGTTACCTGTCAGTTTACTTTGACCCAATCTTCTTTTAAGATCTTCAGAAACACTTTAAGGAGCCAGTCACAAGAATCACAGGGAATCTTCCTGTGTTCCTAACCTTATAAAAAGATACAGAGAGTAGGAGTGGAAAAGACTTTTTTTTCCTTTTTTCTGGCATAGATAGCATCTTTTATGCAGAAACCTTCCTTCAGGATACCCTACACTATCTGATATTGGCTCGATTTTCAGAAGCTAGGAAGAGGGAGCAAGCTCTTTGATTGGTATCTTTGGTTGGTACTTGTCTTCTTATTCTCCTTCCTCCCTTTACTTTTCCTGGCCTACAGCCATTAGTTCTCTTCATCTTCTAGATCTTTCAGTCACTGCCTACCACAGGTGGTTCAGATGTAAAGAAATTCCTCCTCTGATTTCCTTGCCTCTCACTTCATTTCTCCTCCCACTCAGCACAGCAGAGGCCAGGGATGGTGGGCAGGAGCCCAGAGGGGATTGTAACTCATTCACCCTCACCATTAGAGCTCTTTTATCTGAATCAGCTCCCACCTTACCCCTCTGTTAGCTATTAATAGATTGAGTGTTTGATCGAGGACTTTATTTCCTGCTGGAAATAACATCTAGGTATTTCATTGAACTGTTGTAAGATTATTGAAACCCCTCATTAATTGATCAAGTAAGAGATGATTAAGTCTGACAAAAATAATCAGCTCCACTGGAAGACTCTAGTGTTGCAGAAAAGGAGTTAAATTTTTATGGAAGACTGAAATCTTCTTTTCACAAGACCAAATAGTTAAAATAATGTCATTACCACCCATTCAGGAAACAGCATTAAGGCACCAGAAAGGCTATTGCTCTTAGCGTAATAATTTTCTCAACTCTTCATTCTGTGAATTGCACACAGGGTCTTTTACCTGTTGGTAATATCAAATACAAAATATACTATGTATGGTGATCATTGTCTTCTCGCCGGTTCTTCTACCAACAACATTAGAATTGGTTTTACACTGTTTTATTTTGTTGATGAATATGGGTGTTGAATTTTCCCAAGTCTTGGTGAAATTACTTGCCTAGTGAGTGCAAGGCCCTTGTCAATTAGTTACCCAGTGGTCTCTGCATCAGGGGCCCAGCGGCAAGTGGATTTCCTCTGCTCACTGCATCTCTGAGGCCAGCAGCCATGCCTACTGCCACCTCTCCCCTGTACGGAACTTTAAAAACAGTAATAGCTTTGTTATCTGTGTATCCAAGGCAATCAACAGTGAGATATGGAAAATTGAAAACAGGGAAAAATTTAGAGGAGTCAATATCAGTAGTATGGAGGGATAAAGTCTGAAACTTTACAGAGTCACAGCCAGATGAATGTGATTGATTCCTGAGTTGAGGATCACTCCAAGCTGCTCTCCCTGGGTGACTGGGAAGACAATGGCTAAGTTAAAATAGGCTGGCTGCAAACACTCCAAGGACAGACAAATGAGTTTGTGTGCCCCAGCCTCCTCGCTGCTCACTGTCATGTTCTGATTTTTCCTTTCTACATCTTGTTGGCATTGTTGAGCACATTTAGAGAGAATCTGAAATGAAGAGAGGTGTTACATGACAGAGTCACAGCTTATTAAAGTCTTCCTGAGCTAAAGGCAGCAGGATGAAAATCTAGACGATAATGGAAACATCCTGCATTGAGATTAAATATCCACTTACACGTAAAGGACATAGGAGGCCCTGGTTACAGTTTTCGTTGACAAATATTGATTTTTGAGCCAGCTGGGTTGATATGGCTCTTGAAGAAGAGTTTACATCAGTTAAAGATATTCATTTCAAGGGAGAAAATGCTGCTATGGTGGTCTACAGTGTGGCAAATCTGAACTTCGGGTGTGGTTATAGAAATGTATTTGAAGGGCACGATTTGCAAATTACCTTCTATGGAGGGGCTTGGGTAGGAAACCCACCTGAGGATCATTCCCTTGGGAAGAGAGTCCAACTGACCTGCAGTCTTCCACTTCTCTTTCCCTCTCTCCCCTCTTCTCTTTCTTTCCATCTCTCTTCACCTCTGCTGTTCTTAGGGCTAAAGTCAGAACCTAGCATTTTCTTTTTTTTTCTTTTTTGGGTCCGGTTGTGGGGCCTGAACTCTGGGCTTGGGCGCTGTCCCTCAACTCTTCAGCTCAAGGCTAGCGCTCTACCCCTTGAGCCACAGTGCCACTTCCAGCTTTTTTCTTTTTGCTTATGTGGTGCTGAGGAATCGAACCCAGGGCCTCAGGCATGCAAGGCAAGCTCTCTACCACTGAGCCACCTTCCCAGCCCCAAACCTAGCATCTTCTAGGCAGGCACTCTGCAGCTACGCCATACCTCAGCTCTAGTGGCCCATCTCCTGCCTCAGCACTGGTGATAAGACGTGTTCAACAGGCTCTACGGTATTTTCCTCACTGGTGACAGGGACCTGGGGCTCCAGTCCCCCTTAACGCTCCTAATCTTGCAGAGAAACCGTTCCCTCAATGCACAAGAGTTTCTGAAACATGCTAAAAGGAGGTATGTGACCTGCTTTTGTAATTTTGAGGGACGGTGTTAGAGTTTAAACTCAGCCCCGTGCTAGGCAGTCACTCTTATCACTTGAGCTATGTCCCTAGCCTTGGAAAGTCATTTCTTGAATGGAATTCAAGTTCAAATGAGAAAACCAGATGCTTCTCCTGGGAGGACATGTACCTGTCAGAACGCTTCCTTGGTGATGTCTTTAAGTGCTGTCTCATTTACTGGGTCTTTCCTGATCAGTCATTCCCTCTATAGGGGTCATGCGGGGTTAGAATCATGCAAGGCAAGTGGAGGGAAGGCCACCATTCTGTAACTCCTATCCCAGCATCCTGAGAAGAAGAGGCAAATGTGGAGATGTGAGCTTGAGGGTCCTGGCGAGGTGAGTGGCAGGGGTCTCAGGTACCAGAGGGGGGACACCTGTGAACACCAGCCAGCAGTTCAGGGACACTCGGGGATGCGTGTTGCTTGCTTAGAACTCTCACACACATTGTGACAGAGTCCCGTAAAAATCCTGAGGACATGGGGGGGGGGCTGTCTGCTTTTTAATAACGGGCTTGGTTTATAACTTACTTGGTTCAGTGTAGCACATAAAATATATTTAAACCAGGCCACTGGAGAAGACAGTATTGTCTGTAGGGTGACAGTTATCTGGACTAATGATATACTTCCACGGTGAACTCTCTGGAGCTCTTACTCTGAGTTTTGCTCTTGTTCTCAGAAGGAAATTGCTATGCCTTTTGTTCACGCAGGAAAACCCTTGGCTAGACATTTTGATCCTGAAGAATGTTACTAAATTAGGAAGCAGAAATGTCAGAACTGTCCCACATGGAATAGGGGAACATTGAAGCCTCACCCAGGACTTCCTGCTGTCTATGTTTAGCTTCTTTCTTTGTCCCTGTCTGGGTGGGTCGGCAGCATATGTGTATAAAAATGAGCTTTTCATTTTGCATACTCTCTCAAGAAATTGAAACCTCCTCAAGGA